GCAAATTCCCTCAACTTTGGCTTGTCTGGGAATTGTTTAATCCCTCCTTCATATTTAAATGATAATCGTGCTGGATACAGTATTCTTGGTTCGAGGCCCTTCTGTTTCATTTCATTAAGTATATCATGCCATTCTCTTCTGGCCTGTAAGGTTTCTGTTGAGAAGTCTGATAATAGCCTGATGGGTTTTCCTTTGTATGTGACCTTTTTTTTCTCTCTGGCTGCTTTTAATCCTCTGTCCTTGTCTTTGATCTTTGCCATTTTAATTATTATGTGTCTTGGTGTTGCCCTCCTTGGATCCCTTGTCATGGGAGTTCTGTGTACCTCTGTGGTCTGAGAGGCCATTTCCTCCCCTAGTTTTGGGAAGTTTTCAGCAATTATTTCTTCAAAGACACTTTCTATCCATCTTTCTCTCTCTTCTTCTTCTGGTACCTCTATAAGGTGGATATTGTTCCCTTTCAATTGGGCACCCAGTTCTCTTAATATTATTTCATTCCTGGAGATCCTTTTATCTCTCTCTGCATCAGCTTCTATGCATTCCTGTTCTCTGTTTTCAAGTCCATTTAATGGTCTCTTGCATCTCATCCATTCTGCTTTGACGTCCTTCCAGAGATTGTTTTATTTCTGTATTCTCCCTCCTTAGTTCTTGCATATTTCTGTGCAAGTTCATCAGCATGGTTATGACTTTTGTTTTGAATTCATTTTCAGGAAGACTGGTTAAATCTATCTCCCCAGGTTCCTTCTCAGGGGAAGATGTAGAAGATGTCGAAGATGTCTGGGTTAGTCTTGTCTGGATCAAATTCTTTTGTCTTTTTGTGTTGATAGGTGCAGTGGTATGCTATTGACTTATCTGTCAGCTGGGAGAGTCAAGACTGTTTCCATTTGCTCCTGGCCTTTCTTTACTGGGACAACTGCGACCCCTAGCTGCTTGTGTTGGGCAGTTACATGTAGACTGGGTCTCTGTATCTTGCCCGGCAGGTATGGAGGAAGCTCCCTTGCTGTGGGTGTGGCCAGCCTCGTGCTGCTTCTCTGCTATGTCAGGGCCCTGGAGGGGTAATGGATGGGGGGCTGTTTGGCTGTTTACCTCTGTGAGGGGTCTCAGAGCTGTTGCCCAGAGGGTTAGTGCGCCTGGAGTTCTCTGGAATTTCCAGCTGCTGGACTGTGACCCGGGATGCTTCCTTCCAGCTGTAGGGTCCCTGTCCCTTTAAGACTTTCAAAAAGCACTCGCTTTCCTTTGTCCCAGGGACGCCAGCTGGAGGACCCGCTCACAGGTCTTACTGTCCTGCTTCCCTAGTTTCCAGCACCCCACGCATGCACTGTGTGTCTGCTCTCTGGTGTGGATGGCTAGGGCTGGGTGTTTAGAAGTCCTGGGCTCCCTCTCCCTCCCGGCTCCAACTCCTCTCCTCCCGCCAGGAGCTGGTGTGAGGGGCCTCGGGTCCCACTGGGCTGCGGCTTGTATCTTACCTCTTTTCTCCAGGCGCTGAGTTCTCACAGGTGTGGATGTAGTCTGGCTGTTGTCCTGTGTCTTCTGGTCTCTCTTTTAGGGATAGTTGTATTTGTTGTATTTTCAAAAATATATATGTTTTTGGGAGGAGATTCCCACTGTCCCACTCACACCATCTTTCACTTTTCTCTTTCTATAATACATATCATTTAATAACCCTTTATTATTTTCATCTCTTCCTCAGTGTCTTCAGAGATCTATTTTCCAATTTACTAATTCTGTCTTTAGTTCTGTCTAATCTGCCATTTAATCCTTCCACTGAATTTTAATTGTTAATTAGTATAGTATTGAATTAAAAATTCTAGTTGATCACTATGGTGGACATCTGACCCCAATATAATATTGTATGTCAACTTTATTCCAATTTTTTAAAATTCTACTTGATTCTTTCTCAAATCTGATCATTTTTCATAGTTTCTAATTCCTTGCTCATTATTTTCATCTCTTTTTTTTCTTTGAACATATTCAACATAGTTGTTTATACTTTGTGTCTGATAATTTCAGTATCTGAATTTGTTAGGTGTCTAATCCTGGTATCTCTGGTATCTTTTTCACATGTGCCTGGTTTTCTTGTGTTTTGTGATTTTTAACTTTTCTCTCATATTTCTTGGAGTTTTATATGTGGAAATTCTTACATGTGTTGAAATTATTGTCCTCCAGAGAGGATTTTTGTTTGCCTCTGCTGCTTATTTGACATGTCAGTAACCCCAGGGCAACTGAAATAAGCTTTCTGCTTGAGGGTTTTGTTTTGTTTTGTTTTTTTAAGCAGCATGAATTCAGGCTACAAATTTATATAAATGCTAACTTGTGGTTATGAAATTTTAGCAGAGATTACCTTCTCCATCCAGTGTGAGGGCCAAAATTAGCAAGTTGCCTTGCTTTCCTTTTCTTTGCAAGTAGGCTTGTTTCTTGCTTGCCTTTACTTTGATAATATTGCCTTTTGGGTCACAAATTATGATAATCGTGATGTGTTAAATCAATAACAAAATGATGGAAAATATAACAAAAATTTTATGTGATAACTTGAAGAAAATTAAGTTAGGTTCCTATATCAAGCCTTAAACTAAAATATATTCTAACAAGATTAAAGATTTACAAGTAAAAGATGAAATCAGGGGAAGATTGTAAATATATTCTTTATATTCTTCCTCTCCTGAAGCAACTTGCTGGCAGAACTTGGGGAAATTTCATCAGGGTAAACACCACCTATGAGACTGAAGTTTTGGATTTTGTGAAGACAAGCAGGTAATACCCAGGAATGTATCTATTGCTGCATAACAAACCACTCCAAAACCAAGTGGCTTAGAACAATACTCTATTTTGCTCATGAATCTGCACTTTGGGCTGGGCTTAGAAAGGAAGTACATCTCTGCTCCACATTTCATTGGCTGGGGTGGCTTGCTGGGACTGGAGGGTCCACTTTCAAGATGTGTCATTCATACCAGTGGCAAGTTGGTTCTGGCTGTTGGCTGGGAGTTCATCTCAGGATATTTTCCTTGGGCCTCAGTTCCTGACGATATGGACCTTTCCATGGGTTATGGCTTCTTTACAGGATGATGGTTGGGGTTCTAGATGAGGTGTCCAGGAGAACCAGATGGACATTGATTTGCTTTTTATGACCTAGCCTCAAAAGTGACATAGCATTATTTTCAGTGTAGATATAGGAAAAGTATCAAAGTCATAATATAAGAAGAACATGTGATATGGGAGATACTGTTTTGCTCATATCTGGAAAAAACATTCTGTAACAAGGAGATAGGCTTGCTGTAAATCCACCTCTTTAATATGACCTGGGACAGTCTGCAAAGCCCACAGCTGAGAAAGATGTGGGAGCTGCTGCTCCTTGATTGTTTTTTAGCAGTGCTTTGGGAGTGTTCCCTTAGAGGGAAAGACTCTACATACTTACCCACACACCTATCTGGAAATTACCACCAGTACTAACTCATCACAACTGTTACAAGACTTCTCAGGTTGAAATACTAGCTCCACCACTTACTGACTGTGAGATCTTTCTGTTTCTCAGTTTCTTCATCTGTAAAATGAGGATTATAATAATACCTACTCAGATTGTCATGAAGAGTAAAGGAGTTAACTCATGTAAAGGCTTAGAACAGTGCCTGTCAAATAGTTAACTGGAAGGGGATTCTGCCCCAGGGACAGCCGTATTATGTCTACTTGACCATTCTCCAGGGGGAAGTAAAAGTTGCTCCTGGCCAGAGAGGGTCTTCCAAGTGTTTGAGTTTAAGTAGCATTAACCAAAGACTCATTGAGGAGATGTGGGACTGACAACCATCAACTACCTTCTGAATAAATCTGAGTAGCCTTCTCATTTGGCCTATTCAGAGTAGAAAATGCTCACCTGGATCCTTCTGCTCTGGCCACCTTGGGAAGATATCTGTCACCCCATGTCACTCCACAAGCAGGGCACATGCTGGGCTGTTCTTCTCTGTCAGTGTGAATGGCCTTTATGAACAGAGCACTGTGTTCCCCTCTTGTTGCCTGTGTGGAGTGGTCAACAGCCTCAATCCAGTTTCCTTAGAAACCTCTTCACAGTCCTGGTTTGTCAAACCAACATTCAGGACAATGAGCTTACAGGAAAATGGTGGAGGAGGAGACAACCTCTGAGGTAAAAGAGAAAATGACTTTTAATGAAACAGGTTAAGGCATGAAGTAGGACTTCTGCTTTGGTTCTCCATCTCCAAATCCCACCAAAATGGCAAAGAATAGAAAAATAAATTCAAAGCAGCATAAGAAAACCAGAAAGGGTGCTTCCAGAACAACATTATAGTAAGAAATTTTTGAAAGGTATAAAAGAATGAGAATCTATTGACAAAAAAATCGAGCAGAGTGGAAGAACCTAAAACCCATACTGGGAAGAGGGCACTCGAGTAGTTAATGGAAGAAAGAAATCAATTGAGCCTTATTGCTAAAACCCCACCAACTTGCCAACTGCTGGAGGTTCTCCTGCAGCAGCTGGTACTGCTGTATGGGCTCAGATGAGAGCCATTGGCATAGTTTCTAATGTAGTTGTTTATCACAGCAGAGCCAGAGCAGTGGAGGGCTGAAGCCAGGCTCTTGGGTGTCTCTGTGCATATCTCTTCCCAATTCAGGTTCAGTAATGTTATATTGCTAGCTTGAAATTGCCAGGGTAGGAGAATTTATACTATGGAAATCAGCAAAGGCTGCAAATCAAGGCTTCCTCCTCCACCCTAGGTCTGGTTGTTAAACATTTACCAGCATACCACTGCTCCAGAGTAAATTAAGATTACAGAAAAAGGACAATGCCCAGAGGGTCAGGGAAACCATGCCAAGAAGAGAAGTTACCTACATAGTCTGCCTGCCTACCCCTCCACAATCCCATGGAGCACATTCCTGTAATCAAAATAGGCATTCACTGCCAGGTAAACAGGAGGTCTCATTTGAAGTGAGGAAATGCATTCCAACTATGAATAAAGTTCAGTCTAGATTTGAACCTACAAATAGGAACAGAAAAGAAGGAATCAACATTTTGCAAAAACCAAGAACATGAAAGAGAGCACCAAATTCAACAGAACAAGCCCACAATAAAAAATATAGTTAATGGAACATATTAAAAATAGTTAATATCTTCAGAGTTACTTGAAAGCATATCTGTAACTCCAGGGGGAAAATTCTGGGGCAAAATACCTTTGAAACCAAAATCAGTCAGAGGGAGAAATAAAGTGGGAGAAACCCATTTATTTCTTACAAGCAGTCATCCTGCATCTCTCTCAACCTGGCTGCAGAAGAAGAGAGCTCCACCCAACCTCTCCAGTCCAGATAAGCCCTTGCTGGCCCATGTAATTACCTATTGATATGGAGATATGATATTTATGCCATGAATCAGAGAACATTCAGCTCCTGTGTCCACCAGCACCAGGACATGTTGTACATTCACAGGGGACCAATAAATTGCTAATTCCACATGTGGCTTCCGGTCCCCACCACATCCCCTGAGGTGGGGACTTGACCCTCCCCTCAGTCAAACCAGATGCCCAATCATCATCCTGTGGGGGTGAAAGCCCAGGCAGAGCCTGAGTACTGTCCCCAGGAAGTCTTACAGGGACACAGGTTTGATATGGGGCTTTGCCTTTGACTTCTGTGCCCAGGACCTCAGGAGCTGGAACTACTGCTCTGGCTTTAATTGGTGTCACAGTTCTAACAAGATCCTACTGGGCTGCTCATCAAGTTTTTCTTTCACTACCCCGGCCTTTATCAAATCAACTCACATCTTGGTCCTTGAGACTGAAGAGTCCTGACTAATGCTGTTTCATTTTGTAGGTGACTTTATTTTGTGAGAGACGGGTCACATCAGGGGGAGGTTGCAGGAGTTGCAGGGATTTGGCCAACACAGTTGCCAGGGCTGGCCAGATACTCCCAGCCAGTGGAAGGTGGACGGCTCGCCCACCAGGCCGTCGGGAGTGTCACTCCAACTGGAGGGAACTGGTCCAGGTGGTTGGTGAGCGAGTTGGTTGTGGTGAGGGCCAGGTCATATCTGGGCCTGCTCTGTGCACATAGCCCATTCTGCTTTGTGCGCAGGGCCCGCTTTGCGCACGGCCAGTTCTGATCTGTGCACGGCCCACTCTGTGCACAGCCCACTCTGGGCCCGGCCGGGTCTGCGCACGGTCCGTTCTGCTCTGCGCACCACCCATTCTGCTCTGTGCACGGCCCGCTCTGCGCACAGCCCTGTCTACACACGGCCTGCTCTACACACGACCCCATTCCTATGTATAAAAGAAGAATGAACTTGTGCTTTGGGGTCTCCGCCTGCGAGTGTGAGACCCCAGCATGCTGGCTACCCAATAAATGCTCTTGCTTTTGCATCCACGTGTCTCCCGGTTATTTGGAGGTCGATTGTATGGACCCAACATTTGGGGGCTCATCCAGGATCTCGCTCCCATAACCAGCGACTGTGTGGAGCGTGCGGGTAAGTGTGAGTGTGACTGCAGTGTTTGATTGCCTGTTTATGTGCCGTGTGTCCTTGTATTTGTGCCGTTTATTGATGGAAACCTGATCTGGTGGTCCGGGGACTAGGTGGACGCATTATTTTTCCCGCACCTTGGTGAGCACGGAGACGTCCCTCGCTCACTTCTGTTTTTTGGACTTTATTTTTCAGTCTGGTGGGAGAAGAGAGGTCACTCCCTGACAGAGCCCTTTTACAGGAGAGGCCATCCTCCCACATCTGGTTTCTGTTTCTTTTTGGAGAGCATGACGGAGCCCTTTTATGGGAGAGGCCGTTCCTCTTCATCTGGTTTCTTTTTGGAAAAAGGCATCCTAACATTGTGTTCTCTGTTTGTATACTCATATTTGTCTGTCTTGTCTTCTTGTTTCTCTTTGGCATGGGCCATTCACACTCTACTCCTTCTACTCCTCTGTATATTTTCGTATCTCGCTTCAGTGACTTTTGAACCCAGGCTAAAAATCTTGGTCTTGCTGTCAAAAAGTGGTAAATTTTCTATCTTTTCCAGGAATGAATGGCCTAAGTTTGGAGTCAGGTGGCCTGAGGAGGGCACGTTTGACCTCCCCACCATTTTCAGGGTCAAGGACATTGTATATGGACGTCCTGGGCACCCCGACCAAGTTCCTTACATCACCACTTGGCAGACTCTAGTGGAAAGTTGACCTAAATGGCTGGCTCCCCTTCTTTCACCTTTAAAGGTGACCCTCGTGGCCACTGCCTCCTCTAAAGCTCCAAGCTCCTCTAAGGCACCCCGCAAGTTGAATCCCAATCCCTCGGTTCCTTCAGCCCCACCTCTTTATCCTGTCCTCCCCCCTTCAGACCCCTCTTCAGAAGATCCATCCTTTTCCACCCACCACCATATGGACAAACTCCTCTCCCCAATCCTCCTGAACCTTTACCTATGGAAGAGGAACCTGACCCAGAGGACCCACCCATTTTGATTAGTCCTCCCCATACTCGCTCTCAAGACCAAAGAGCTCCCGAGAACACCCCAGGCACCATGGCCCTACCTTTGCGGTCAGTGGGCCCACCGTGCCCCGATGGCCAACAGTTCTTAATTCTTTGGCCTTTCTCTACCAGTAATTTGTATAATTGGAAAATGCAGAACCCCCTCTTCTCTGAGAAACCCAGTAAACTTATACACTTGTTGGATTCGGTCCTTTTCACCCACCAGCCCACCTGGGATGACTGCCATCAGCTTTTACAGGTTCCCTTTACTACTGAAGAGAGAGAGTCCTGACTAAAGCTAGGAAACTAGTCCCAGGGGTTGATGGGAGACCAACCACGGATTTAGATATTATAAACATCAGATTCTCCTTGAGTAGGCCCGGCTGGGACTTCAATACGGACGAAAGTAAGGAGAGGCTCACTGTCTACTGCCAGATTCTGATGGGGTCTCCGGGCGGTGGCACACCATCCCACCAATTTGTCTAAAGTAAGTCAGGTGAAACAGGAGCCCACAGAACCTCCTGGAGCTTTCCTTGAGAGACTGCTGGAAGCCTACAGGACCTACACTCCCCTGGACCCAGAAGCTGCTGAAAACTGGTCCGTAGTAAGTTTGGCCTTTGTCAATCAATCAGCCCCAGACATCAGATGGAAGTTACAAAGATTAGAAGGTTTTGAGGGAAAAAGGCTAGCTGAATTTTTGGCAGTGGCTGAGAAAGTGTTCAATAACCGAGACACCCCAAAAGAGCGACAGACCTGCAGATTGGCTAAGATTTTGTTGGCTAATTTGTTAGAAGGTCCTGCCCGGAACCAAGAATTAAAAAGGCTGACTGAACAATGGGGCCCTCGAGATCCCAAAGCCTCCCCCAAGGGCCGGAACCCGCTGCAGAGAGATCAGTATGCCTACTGCAAAGAGAGAGGCCACTGGAAAAATGAATGCCCCAAGACAGAAGTCAGGGTACCCAAGGTCCTCCAGATAGAAGGCTTAGACAACTGAGGGGGATGGGGTTCGGCCCCCCCTCCCTGAGCCTTGGGTAACCCTGAATGTGGAGGGGAAGCCAGTGACTTTTATGGTCAACACTGGAACAGAACATTCAATCCTTGGGAACCCCATGGGGCCCCTTTCTCCCAAACAGTCCAGGGTACAGGGAGCCACAGGATCTAACCGATATTCATGGACTACCCGAAGACCCATAGACCTAAAATTGGGATGGGTATTCCACTCATTCATGGTTATCCCTGAGTGCCCCTACCCACTTCTGGGGAGAGATTTGCTATCCAACGTGGGAGTCCACATCCACTTTCAGGGTGACTCAGTTTCTGTAAACGACCAGAGTGGAGCCCCCTTAATGATGAACATAGACTTTACACCAGCCCAGGAAGAGAAAAATACAACTATGAGCTCCTCGATAAGTGGCTAAAAGTGATCCCAGAAGTATGGGCCGAGACGGGAGGCATAGGATGGACAAAGTATCAGGCACTGATAGTGGTCCAACTAAAGGCCACTGCCACCCCTGTCCGTGTGTGGCAGTACCTGATCCCCCAAGAAGCAAAGCTTACCGCTAGCTGCCTCAAGTCAACTGCTGTTTGCTTTTGAATGGAGAGATCCAGGGGACAGATTGAATGGTCAACTAATGTGGACCAGGTTGCCTCAAGGATTCAAGAACTCACCGAACATCTTCGACGAGGCCCTCCACGGAGATCTGAAAGAAGTCACCTACTTGGGATACAAACTCAAAGGGGGACACTGATGGCTACTCCAGGCCAGAGAAGAGACTATTTTCCAGCTACCAAGGCCAGACTATAGATGGGCTGTCAGAGAGTTCTTGGGGACAGCAGGGTTCTGCTGCCTCTGGATTCCTGGCTTCGCTGAACTAGATAGATACCTTTTCTGGATGGGTAGAAGCCTTTCTAACCAAAAGATAAACTACTGCTGTAGTAGTTGCCAAGAAATTCCTAGAAGACATTATTCCATGGTATGGCTTTCTGCTTTTATTGAGTCAGACAACAGACCAGCTTTCGTCTCTCAGGTAACACAAGGGCTGAGCCATATATTGGGGACTAATTGGAAGCTATACTGTGCATATCATCCCCAAAGCTCAGGTCAAGTAGAAAGGATGAATTGGACCATTAAGGAGATTTTAACCAAACTAACCCTAGAAACTAGCAGTGACTGGGTGACTCTCCTCCCCTTCGTTCTGTTCAGGGTCAGGAACACTCCCTATAGATTGAGCATGACCCCGTTTGAAATCCTGTTTGGTAGGCCTCCCCCGATCCTTCCCAATTTGTGAGCTGGATCTGTTAACTGAGAAAAATGATAAAAACTTTCTTTCCTCTGTACAAGCTTTGTTTCAGGTCCAAGATGCCTTTTCAGTTGGTCCCCATGGCTAACAACTTTATTATCAGCAGTAGCAGGTCCCCTCTTACTTCTGATACTGGCTCTTACATGTGGCCCCTGCCTTATCAATGCCCTCCTCAAATTTGTACGGAAATGGATCTCCACCATCCAACTCATGGTCCTTAAATCTCAGTACAGGCCCTTGAGTAAGGAAGACCCTATTCCATTACTTCAAAGATTTGAAGTAGAATAAAACTCAAGGGGGGATGAAGAGTCCTGACTAATGCTGCTCCATTTTGTAGGTGACTTTATTTTGTGAGAGACAGGTCACATCAGGGGGAGGTTGCAGGAGTTGCAGGGATTTGGCCAACACAGTTGCCAGGGCTGGCCAGATACTCCCGGCCAGTGGAAGGTGGACGGCTCACCCACCCGGCAGTCAGGAGTGTCACTCCACCTGGAGGGAACCGGTCCAGGTGGTTGGTGAGCGAGTTGGTTGTGGTGAGGGTCAGGTCATATCTGGGCCCACTCTGCGCACGGCCCATTCTGCTCTGTGCGCATGGCCCACTCTGCGCACTGCCCCATTCCTATGTATAAAAGAAGAATGAACTTGTACTTTCGGGTCTCCGCCTGCTAGTGTGAGACCCCAGCATGCTGGCTACCCAATAAACGCTCTTCGTTTTGCATCCACGCATCATCTCCCGGTTATTTGGAGGTCGATTGCTCGGACCCAACAGAGACCTTCACAGGGCCCTTTGCACCTCTCCTTTCAGCTGTAACCTGTACTTCCTTCTGGGCTCTTATTGTTTCAACTTCCCCCAGATCTGCTAAAGTATGAGCAGCCTCCCTATGGGTTGCCCTGTGTGGGAGACAAGAATAGTCACTAGGGACACAAAGAGAAATGGGGGAGCTGTATGGAGCACCAGATTGCTCATTCCTATGGTGAACAACTCCTCATCGGGGCCTTGGGTGTTCATATTATTGGTGATATTTTTCATGCCCAACTCCTGTAACATCTGTTGGAGTTCTGCATACATTTTCCAGCTAGTGGCTAAGTATGGCAAATCACCCTGATCAGGCCAAACTGCCCTGAGGTGTGATGGGCACTTTGCAACCACTGCCAGAGGGAAGGGTGAGTTGTCAGGGAAGCCAGTCTACCCATTTCAGAACCTGACATAATAATGTTTTCAATCCCTGTATCCCAAAGACACAGAGGCCATTTAGGAAGAGGTTCTGACAGCTCCTGCTGAAAATGGATGCTCACATCCACCAGCTCATCCTGGGTATAGGTGTGGAGCATGCAGTGCTCCACAATCTGGGGAAGGAGTGGCTCCTCCCTTTGAAGAGTCCACCCTGCTTCTCCAAGCGATGCTGAACTGTGTCTCTCTCCTGATGAAGTCTCTCTCTCTCTCTCTCTTCGATAATCCTCTCTCTTTCCTCGATAACACTTTCCACTATATCGAGGAAAAGAGATCCTACAATTCCAGCTGCTACATGGCCACTCAGGGCCTCTATGCAGTTTTCTATCTCATGGAGGACTAATTCCACAGCTTCTGGTGTCTCCACCCTTCCCCAGTTCTGGAAAAGGCTCCACCCCTCTAAGAGGTGCTTTTCCCTCAACCAATTCTTCACTAGGAGCTCTCTAATTGGAAGCCCCACAGATAGGGGGCTCCAGGGTGAAGCTGCACCCTCTACCGTTGCAGCCACTGGGACCTCCCTACCATCCACGGGGGGTTCCCAGCACCTCCCCACCATCTCTAGAGGCAGCCCACCAAAGGGCCGCACCCATGTAGACAGATTTCGGGTTCAGATGGTCCTGCTGACTATCACTGGATATAACTCCAGGGGGAAAATCCCAGGGCAAAATACCTTTGAAACCAAAATCAGTTAAAGGGAGAAATATAGTGGGAGAAACCTGTTTATTTCGTACAAGCAGTCATCCCATCTCTCTCAAGACGGCTGCAGAAGAGAGCTCCACTCAACCTCTCCAGTCCAGGTAAGCCCTCACTGGCTCATGTAATTACCTACCAATACGGAGATAGAGTACTTCTCCACCCCTTGGAAACACCTATTGATATGGAGATGCACTAAAGCTAGGTGAGAGATTCCAGAATCTCTGGAAATACTGCAATTTTACCCACAGTATCATATCCAAAAAAGAGACTGCTACGAAATAACCAGAATAAATGAAAAATTTAAAAATATAATCGCTAAACCTAGTAGTTGGGCTGAATATGCAATTCATGAGTTGGAAATTTGAATTGGGAAATTCTTCCAAAATGGTATGCCAAAAAATAAGGAAGAAGCAAGGGAAAGAGAGAGAAAAAGAGGAGGGTGGGAGGGAGGGAGGGAAGGATGGAAGGAAGGAAGGAAGGAAGGAAGGAAGGAAGGAAGGAAGGAAGGAAGGAAGGAAGGAAGGAAGGAAGGAAAGAAAGAAAGAAAGAAGGAAAGAAGGAAAGAAGGAAAGAAAATGTCAAAAGACATAGAAGATAGATATAGCTGATATTGTAGGCATAGGACTGTGAGAATAGAAGGGAGGAAATTATCACAGAAATAAGAAAACATTTCCAGAGCTAAGGAGGTATTTGGACTGAAAGGACTATTAAATGCTAGGCAGAATTAATGCAAAATTATCTTCTGAAGGTATCTATGTATTAACACAACAAAGAAAAGTTAGTCTTTCCTGCCTTTCCTTTTGGAAACCACCCACAAATAACAAGAAGAATGGAAACAGTAATGTCAATTTTGTATCTGTTGAAATTAGAAGGCATCTGAAGCTAAAATAGGAAGAAGGGTCATCCAAAGTGGGAAAGGTCAAAAATGCAGGGAAGCATGGTGTCCAGAGGCACAGATCTGAAAAAAAGCCAGCAGAACCTATGACTCCATAATAAAGTGCGTAGCTTAAGATGAGAATCAATAATCTCTTTTTTGCAACAATGGAATAAGGTGCTGGTGGTGGGAACTTCTCTGGACTCATTTTGGTACTGAGAAAGAGCTGAAGAAGTAGATTTGAGCAAAAAATATCATAGACTAATCATATTTTTCAGGAAGCTGTCTGCTATTGAGGGAAGAGGGAGAGGAAGAAGGACTGCATTGTGACATCCCTTTGATGCTGACCTCAAGTAGGCTGCAGAGAAGCAAAACCTACAGGAACTGACTCACAGAGCCTGTGCTATGAGGAGAGTTTGTCCTGACCTCTCTCACACAAAACTCCAGTAAATAGCTAGTCTTCGGAGAGCTACCTTGTTTCAAGTTGAGTAATTAAATCAAAAAGGAAAGAAATGAGCTAGCACAGGGATACCAAAAGAGAAGAGAAAGAACGAGGTGGCAGAAACCAAGCAAAACAAATGGCAGGTGAAGAATTCTCATCATGGAACACATAAAAATTGAGACCAAGCAAATTGCTGTGAATTAAGCTTTAAAATTTTATCTCTATTAAATCCATCAGTATAAAACAACAGCACAAAACAAAGATGTAAGAGTTCATGGAAGAAAAGATAGAAACATGAAGACATGCTTATTTTCATGCTGATGAAACATGAAACACCAGAGCCCAGGCAAAAGTGGAAAGAAAATAAAAATTGCAGATGCAAACATGACACAGGAAGCAGCACAAAGGAAAA